AATAGATATAAATATAGATGATATAGGTATAGATATAGATATAGATATAGTACTAGTAGAGATATAGATATAGATGATATAGATATAGATATAGATATACATGTAGATATACATGTAGATATAGATACAGATGTCTGATGATTTCCCTTAGGGAAATTCCCGAGAGTCACGTTGCTGTGTTAAAGGGTGGACACAGCTGAATGTTGATAGAGTCTGCCAAACCGCCCTCCAGAGGGGAGTCCAAATTACACTCGCCCCAGAAAGGGACCAGAGTACCCCTTCATTTACACCCTCCTGGAGATTTTATTCTCATCTTTGCTGACCTGACAGGTAAAGAATGATACTGTGTGGCTGTCTGATATGAACATTCCATTTCAGATGAGGTTGAGACTGAGCACCTTGTCTTATATGTTTTGAAACATTTACGTTTTTCCTTTGGTGAGTGGCCTCCGCATGTCCGTCTAGTGTAGAGGCGCCAGGTCCCTAAGCTCACAAAACATCCTGGTCTTTATTCCCCTACCAAATACTTTATTGAAAAAGAAAAAGGAAAAAAAAAAAGTAAAATACACACAGGTGAGGGGAAATACACAAAACCGCTGGAGGGTTCCAAGGCTGTGCTATGGAGTTTGTATTTCTAAGGTTCGGGGAGTTGACGTGGCAGAATGAAGCTGCGAAAAATTCAGAGAAGATATTAAATGTATCACCCCAAGTTCTTTTGGAAAAGTCATACTGCACCCTTCTGGGTGGATCAAACAAATATATTCCATTTTTACTCGGTAGGAGGGATTAAGCAAAAAAAGAAAAAAAAAAGACAGAACTCAGGGGCATGAGCAGCAGTGTGGTGATCGGGGGAGGGGGGGAGATGGAAGAGGGCACAGAGGCGATAAATGGTGACGGAAAAAATAAAATACTCTATTTTTAAAAGAAATAGTGCACATTTCTAGTTATAAATAAGTCATGAGGATGTAATATACAGCATGGCGACTAGAGTTAATAATACTGTATTACATATTTGAAAGTTCTCATCGCAAGAAAAAAAATGTGTGACTGTGTGGAGATGGATACTGACTAGACTTACGGTCTGACCATTTTGAGACACAGACACACAGGAACAGATTGTGAGCTCACTGGGGTAATTTGTGTTGTGTTTTTTAGAGTGCCCTCATCAGACAATGTTGATATGGCTTCTTTTTTCTCACTTGGAACCTCAGAGGCCACTATCACCTAATCAATGCCCGGCATCCAAAATGCAGTTTTAATGTTTTTTTTTCCTCTATAAGTTCTTTGCCAACATAAGCTTAGCTTTCACCTCAAGATTTATTCTATTGTATTCACATAGCATCCCTTCCCATCCTGGAATTGGGGAGAGTGAGCGAAATGCCAAATCCTGTGGTCATATAATACACATTAACAGCTTGACAAAACAGATGGGGGTAACTTGGGGACAACCCAAGTGTAAAAAGACATTTTTGAGGCTATTCGAACAAAATAAAGTTGAATATACACTGGGTATTAGCTAACATTAAGGGATTATTGTTCATTTTACTTGGTATGATAATGGTGTTGTACGCGTGTGTGTGTGCATTCATATCTGTTAGCGATACTTTAAAAAACAAGTAACATCACGGGTTGGCTATCACATGGGACCTACAAATCTTGGAACTGTAGTCTCTCAGAGTGTAACAGACTTTAAACATCACCTAGGCCAGGCATGGAAAAAACATTTCCATTTACAGGCCAACTCCATGCTCTTCCCCTCTGGCTGGTGATGGGCTAGGAGAAACCTTGGTCTTTACGAGTCAAAGAAAAAAAGTCATGATTCATCAGCGATGCTGGCCAAGGGCACGAGTTAGGACAGTAGGACCACATGTACTGTTATTAGCACCTTGAGAACCCCGTCTAGTGGTCTCCCAGGGAGCTCATTACTTGTCAAGGCAACTCATTACTTCTTCAGACAACTCTGTCTACTAAGTTATTTTTCATATTTTGAGCTGAAATCTTATTTTCTGTAGCTTACAACCACGTGACATAATGATTAAGTTTAGTTCCACTTGGACCTGACAGTGTTTGAACTACCTGGGAACACTCTCCTGTCCCTTCCAAGTTTAAAACATCACGCGGTCCTCCAAGCACTCCTCACATGGCACGGACACCACCTCCATCCTCACCACTCTCCCGTGACAGGCGCCAAAGTGCGGCTGCCCCGTCCCCATGTAGCACAGAAAACTGTCTGTTGATGTCATGTTGTCAAAGCACAAACCCCAACATGCCATGACTGTGTTAAAGTTTTGGTTTGCAGAATCTCTGCATTCGATTTTAATTCAGATGTTCTTCTCTCTTGCGCTCAATTTGGCTCGTCTGTTGAAGCCTTTTAAAATCTTTCCAGTCGTCCTGGCCAGGTGGCTCAGTCGGTTAGAGCATCGTCCCATACACCAAAAAAAGGCTGCGGGTTCTATTCCCGGTCGGGGCACATACCTGGGTTGCTGCTTTGATACCCGATCTCTCTCCCCTTCTCCCTTTCTCTCTCTTGAAATCAATAAAAACATACGTTAAAAATAAACAAAAAAAGAACACACTGCGCAGAAAAGTGGTGATCGCTCGAATTCCCTAGAATTCTGTAAGACCCAGGATTGGTGTGGCCAAGATTGCTAACTATTCACCAGAGTCCATTTGCTCCAACTGGGGACACGACTACGCTCATCACCCCCCTCCCCCGCCCCGTGCAGTTAGGTGCGGCTGTGCCTGAGCTCTGGTGGAGGGGAGGGGAGTGGAAGTGACTGTACCACTTCCGAGCTGATCCATAAAGCCCTCCCAGGCTTTGCTTCCATGCTCTTCCCCTCTGGCTGGGCTGGAGCCGAACCCCTCGGGCGACATTGGAAGCCACAGGTTGACACCTGGAGCCCCACCTGGAAAAGAGCCACCTCTCTAACGTGTTCATAAGAGAAACCACCTTCTCTCCTATTTGAGAGTCTGTGTGTTACAGCAGCTAACCCATCTGACTAATCCAGTAGAATTAAGTTACAGCTAAAACGAAGCTCTCCTAACCTTTACCAACCAGCGACTGTCACTCTCCTAAGGAGACAGAGGCCATTCAGAGGCCAGGACGATCCTCCTCGGTATGTCTGACAACAAAAGTCCTGCCGGCTCGTGACCATCAGGAAGATAGGAACCTTGCCTCTGGCTCGCCCGGGCTTGGGCCGCAGCCACAAAGCACGCGGGCAGATTCTGGTGATGTCAGAGCACAGCTTGCCTTGACCCTCAGAAACACGAGTCCCGCCCGCAGGTCTTGGGCAGATGCCCGACTGCCTTCCCGGGCGCTCTGGCCCTGGCCTCGTCTATGCTGACTTTGCAGAAATGCCTCAAAGCACTGCCCCGTTATTGTCAGGGGAGAGGCTGCCAGAAGCTCTTTCAAAAAGCCACAGCAACATGCACGGCCAGAGCAAGGCCGCACCCCACGGCCCACCTTCTGAATGAAGCATTCAGCCGATCGATCGATCGATCGATCAATCGGGCAGGGATACACTCTCAGACAGTTCACGCCCTAGGCAGAGCTCCCCTCGCGGGGCAGATGGGCTCCCCTCTTTCTGCTGCTTCTACTCAACACCAGAGACTTCAGAGAGAGCTCCCTCCCCGAGGGACCGGGCACTTAGGTAACAGAGTTACCTTAAGAGAATTAGCAGCACGTATTGCATGTCATTGCTTGTTCCTCCCAGGTCTCGGCAACGATTTGAAGGGTAAATGATTGACTAACTCTTGCTTCATCGCAGGTTCATTGGCTTTGAGATCTTCCCAATACAATGTTCTTCATCTTTTAGGAACCATAGACCCTTTTACTAATTTGGTGCAATGTCTTGACCCTTTCACAGAAAAATATAAATGCCCACAGGTGCACACGTACATGACACATGATGTCAGGCACACACAGCATGCCTAGTTCATCCATGATCCCGGGCTCATGCACACTGCAGGGCAGAGGTCAGCAACCACTCCCTCTAAAGGGCCAGACTGTACAGAGTTTGGCTACTGGAGCCACACACAGTCCCCATCACAATTACTCAGCTCTTCGCTGCAGAGCAAACGCAGGCATGGCTGTGTCCCACAAGACGTTATTTATAGACTCTGGGCTTCGTATAATTTTCACGTCACTAAACATTACTCTTTTCATTTTTTCAGCCATTTCAAAAATAAAAGCTATCGTTTGTCGGTAGTCTGTACAAACACCAGTGACAGACCACAGTTGGTCAGACCCTGCTGTAGAGCATGGATTCCAGATATAAAAATATTACATCTCTGGATGCACCCGAGGATATTTTCCCATTGATTTTTAGAGACAGTGGAAAGGAGGGGGGAGGAGGAGGGAGAGAGAGAGAGAGAGAGAGAGAGAGAGAGAGAGAGAGAAGAGAAGAGAGAGAAAGAGAGAGAGAGAGAGAGATGTGAGAGAGACACATGGATTGGCTGCCTCCTGTACCTGCCACTACCAGGATCTGGGATCAAACCTGCAACCCAGGTATGTGCCCCTGACCAGGAATCAAACCTGAGACCTTTTGGTGCAAGGGCCAACACTTTAACCACTGAGCAACACCGGACAGGGCTTCACGAACTTCCATGATGAACGTAGGCGGCAAACCTCGGCATCAGCAGTAACGGTGATGGACCCCCAGCAGAAACCCCAGGTACGTTCACCCCACATCAGAGCACTTTCACACAGCGCCCATCATGCTCGTCGCTATTCTTGAATTATGGTCACTACTGGACCTTCTGCTGCATCTTGCCACTTAAATGTGTTGCTAGAGAAGCACATCTACTCTATCACAAATCTGATTTTTTATGTTTTGCTAACTATATTTCAGGGTCGTTGATTTCCTTTCTAACCCTAGACATTTCACTTTATGGATTTAAAAACAGATTTCTGAGAAGCAGTCCTGAGCTTTCGCCAGCTACCAAGGAGGCCACGGTACGGGGAAGGTGAGGGGCCCGGGCAGGAGCCCAGCGTCGCCTACCAGAGCATTCACGTCTTCCGTCTTGTGGATGAGCATGCGGATCTCCTCCGGGTCGCCGCTGAAGATGGCCTGGACCAGTGGCGGCTGCAAAGGCAGGAGAGTCTGAATCACAACTCTGACTAAATACATTCGATTGCATGCAGAGGCGGGAGGCTAGAAAATGTGTTCCCCAGAGTGAATCCAACACGATCAGCTGGCAAAGACGGATCGGGCCCAGGCCTGCCTCCCTCCCTGGAAGTCTAGTGGGGAGACAGTTGCATAAAGAAATAACTATAACACGATGTGGAGGCCGTGACACAGTCACATCTGACCTGGGGCTACTGGTGTGACATGAAAATCACCCACAGTTGAAATGGTCCTTGACAGGCCCTTAACTTCCCCATCACGAAAAGGACCAAATCTGTGATTTTGTGCAAACGGACCCCTGTAACCCGCCGCCCCCACCTCTCATTAGATGATGTCCCCGGCACCCCATCCTCAAACAACCCATCCCCACAGGACACTTCCGTGTCAACGTTGGGAAACCTTGGGCATCATTCCCGAACACTTCCCATCGCGTGACCAACAAGCCTGAGTATTTTAGACTCGATCACACCCACTGCCTTCCCAAAGGGCATGGGATCAAGGCGGGTGAGGAGCAGGAAGAGGGGCGATACTCAGGGCGTCCTATTGGCCTCGCCTACATCAAGCAAGACCCCACGCATAGTGGGTCTATCAAGTGTGATGGAGACACAGCTGGAAGCGAAACCAGCTCTGCTGGGCACAGGTAGGTGAGGAGAAGGGCCCAGAAAAGCATCAGGAAGCGCCTTTATGAGCATGAGCTTGCAAACAGGGAAGGAAGGCAGGCCAGGCGAGCACTGGGGGCCTGCACGCACAGAGGGGCGGAGACACACAGAGCTGATGCGTCAGACAGGCTGCCAGCAGCCTGGCCACCAGAGTGTGGGGAGCAAGAGGACCAGGGGTGGGCTCTGGGCTGGCGCTGGGCCTGGCCAAGGAGTGAGAATCCTGGGCAAAGCCAGCTCCACGCCTGCAGCTCATTCCCCAGTGCAACCGGGGTGCACACGCTCTCTGCGGCCCAGCCCCTCACAGGAAGGTTACCAGGAAGAAATGAGATAACATATGGGAAAACCCTCTATAGCCATATAACCCTACACAAACAGCATGTTTTATTTTTTATTTTATTATTTTTTTTAGGAGTGAGAATCCTGGGCAAAGCCAGCTCCACGCCTGCAGCTCATTCCCCAGTGCAACCGGGGTGCACACGCTCTCTGCGGCCCAGCCCCTCACAGGAAGGTTACCAGGAAGAAATGAGATAACATATGGGAAAACCCTCTATAGCCATATAACCCTACACAAACAGCATGTTTTATTTTTTATTTTATTATTTTTTTTTTTT